AATACAAGGCTTTGTTTCAGAAAGCAGCTTTCCTGGAGGGCTGGAGACAGCTCAACCCCCAGAAGAATTTCCTCTTAAATTGTTGCATAGAGCAACACTTATAAAAGCAGATGCCTGAAGGCAGATTTTGATATAATCCTTTTTATAAAGTGTTCTGAGGTCCTAAAATGCCAGCAGGAACTGCCACGTAGGAAAGCACTTTGAAAAAATTATCTATTTAGAAATGTAAATAAAAATAGGTGGCCAAATCTTTTATTGTCTTCTCAGAAAGAAAACAATTTACATTTCCACAATTACACTAAACAGAAATGAAATTTGGCTACAGATTGATAAATATCAAGATCCCCACCTGATTGACAAAGTGCCCTCTTGTCATGATGAAGCTTGTTAGTGTTCAGGATGATTTTGAGTGTTTTTGGCTGATTCAAAGGAGGTAGTCTGATTTCCCTGCAATACACACTGAGCATGTGATCAATTTACATGTCAGATTTCTGGTCCCACAGATGTCGTTCTTAATTACAGAAAATTCTGAATAAAAAAAAGGCCTTTACAGCATTGCTGGGATAAGAAAGATTAAGAAAATCCCATCACTCACTCCTGAAATATGCAGCACTTCCAGAATAAAGCATGGCAGTCATTTTAATCAGCATACAGATCAGCTTTTTAGAATTAGCAATAAAATAAAATGTCAAACTATGACACCACGGGGAACTTAGGAAGACAAAATGTAACTCATTACCACAATTACTGCAGCAGAATTAAAACTATTAACTACTGATCCCAAAATATGAAACAGAACAGGAAAGAAGGAATATTGGGGAATAATATCACCTTTGTGATAGGAACACATAATAAGATGAACATTTTTTAGGATCCCACAGCTCTGTGCACCCAGCACCCACATTCCCATCAATAAACCCAAGGACAGCAAACCCAAACTGGATCAATGGGATGGACTTAATGACTGTGCTTCTAAATTCTAATAGAAAGGCTCAGATTTCCAGTGATATATTTTGTTCTCTGAAGGGCCTGAGTGTTTTTTGTGATCACCACAACCAGTCACACACATTATTTACTTAAGGATATATTTTTCCCATGACCTTACAGACTCATTTCTCTGTCATGGAGAGGTCATGGAAGGAAGTTTGTTAGAAGTTAAATATGAGGAAGTGCAATAAAGGCTATTTATCTTATAGAAGGAAAAAATGAGTCCAACAGCACAGAATTATTACATAAAAAATGTTAAAAAAAAAAGATTTTGAGCCTCTCTGCAGCCTCACAAAAATAGCCCGTGATAGTACATGGGCAGATGTCCTCTCTGCTGTGCAGAGTCTGATCTGAGCCCTTCTGGACTTCAGTGAAATAATAATAATAAAAAAGCAAAGGGAGTGCAATTTCCATGGAAACTTGGAAAGAGATGTAACATTGTTTGCCGTAAGCGTCCGACTGTGAGTGGAAAATTTTCCAGTTTACACAGATCTCAGCTATTATTTTCTTTGCAGTGCAAACTTGGGCCAAATATTTTCTGTCATATTAAAGATGCTAATAGTCAGTTTTACTTTCTGTCCAGAACAACTGTGCACAAAAGCTTCAGCATCCACAGTAAAACATCTGATATTTATCTTTCCATGAACCCAAAACACACATTAGAAAAAAAAAGAATAATTTGGGCTTTCTTTTATCTGCTTCTCTTCAGAAAGAGAAGGCAGCTCAGAAATCATCTCCTCTTTATGTGCAATGTTTCAGACTAATAGACAGCCAGAGCATTGGCAGATGTGCCCACTGTAAATGGGAGCTTAACTCACAGGAAAATTTGCTGTTGAAGCACATAAGATGATAAAAATATACCAAAAGCACAGAATTTACATTAAAATTTACATAATTAATGAAGTGACTTTTATCTTACATGAGTTTCAGAACTCACTCCCTTGCTACTCCTCCCTTACCCAGCAGCAGGAATAATTGTCACAGTCCAGAAATTAACTTTGAACAACACAAGCCCAAGTTCTGAGCTGGGCTGCTCCAAGTTAAGCCTTGTGTGGGAATGGTAACAAAAGTTTGTGAAACTTTAGTGCCCTAAATGCAGCTGGTTGGTGTAGTGTGGGAGCTGTGATAATGACTTGGCAGCTCAGGGAACACCTCTGCAGATCTGGTGCCTGACCTGTACTGGGTCCAGAGCTCAAATCTAAATTAGTCTGGAACATGTGTGCATGCCCAGACATTCCTGCCCTTCCCACTCCTGGACATGTCCCACAGAGCAGAGAACTGCTCTGCAGGAAATGTGTGGTGATCTCAGATCTCTAGGGCTGAAATCTGGGTACAGTTTGGGGCCATATTTGTGCAGATTTGAGTTGTCTTTAAGTGAGATAACAAACACAATGGCAACATCAAACACAGCTCCTGGAGGATCCAGGCAGAGCAGTTGTGTGATAGAGACTGAACTGGTCCTGCTGGGAATCCTGGGTATCCTTGAGAGAGGCATTGTTTGAGGCAAGGCACTGCTTAAGGAGGATTTGGTGTTTAGCACAGATTTCACCATAGGCTGACTGAAGCTTTCTCCTCACAAGTTCACACACAGTCCCAAATGTCATGTTGATTTTATACCTGCCTGCCCAGTGAGATGACAGAGCAAGTCAATCACCTGGCCTTGAAAATCTATTTCCCCTTTTACATCTTGCAAATTCTACTCACTCACTTGTAGATCACACAAAGAGGAAGCAGCATGACTCAGCTCCACACTACAATGGCTGGAGCAGATCCAGACCTTGCAATCCTTTGGGCTTTCCTTACCAAAACACAAAGCTGCAGCTTGGCTAATGTAAAGCATGCAGTGTTTGTGTAAGCAATGGGAGATGGGCAGCAGGCCAGCAGCTCTCCAGAGCAATGTGCTCCTTCTTTACAATGATGGCAAATCATCTTCTGAAGAGTTCAGCAAGGAACAAAAGAGCCAAAGGGCTCTGATCTTAAAATGCTAAGGAGAAACAGCCTCCTGGGCTGTATTCTGTAGTATGAATTTACATTGAAATCTAGTCGTAAATAATGCATTACTTTAGCAAGTTCCACATAATGCCATACCAGCAAATATTTTTGTATATCCTGTAAATTACCTAAGTCTTAAGAGATACAGGAAAACTGTTTACCTTAGTGAATCCAAGAACTTGGAGAAAGTTTCAAGAACCCTGAATCCTAGTGTTTTGTCTAAACCACTGGAAAACAGTATCTAAAAATCAGCTACACTAGAAATTCATTGTGGTCTAGAAATTAATCCTGATCCTCTACCAGTTTGCTAACACCTGATCCACAGATGTGTTTCATAAAGAGCACCCACGTGGTGAGTTATGGCACAGTAAATAATGCACTGTAAACACACTTCACTGTGTAAACAAGCTTGGAGCAAAATTCATCAAGAACTTCACTTCATTTACTCCCTGAATGCACAACAAAGTTGAGGGGTTTGATGGTTATCTCACAGCAATCTAAGTGCAGAGATAAAGACTCCAAATCTAAACCTGTTTCTTGGAGCAATGATGGACATGCCAGCCCAGCTCTGGGCAATGGGATGGCTCTGTCATTTCAGGCACTGCCTTCACAGGGGGAGCACAGATCAGGACACAAATGTGTGCAATAATAATGAAGTAAGAAAGAGGCATCAGCCAAGAGATTTCTCTGAAAAGATCCTCACCTTCCAAAGACTGACTTAGAACAAGCAGCTCCCTGGCTGTGTGTGTGGGGTGACTGAGCAGCATCAGAGCTTGCATCACTCACCAGCAACCTCACACTGCTTTAGAGGACAAAAGGCCAAGTGGCTTCAGGGCTTTAATGTCAAAGATGGTTCATTGAGCAGACTTTATGCTTAGCAAAGCTGAGCAGCTTTTTCCTTATTCCTCCCCAGAATGTTTTGGGCATTGTCATATGCTTGTACTACAGAACTTGCAGTTACCCAAAGCCAGCTCATGAGAAGTGAACGGAAACATCTCTTTTCATTCCAAAGGAAAAACAACTTTTATGCTGTTTTCCTCAGCAAGCTGAAAACTTGGAGAGAAACCTCGAGCTAAAAAAAGCAAAGAACTCAAAAAGATTCATATTCTGGACTGTGGTTTCTGCTGTCTTAGCTCAAGGGAAAATATGGTCATGGGAAAAGGGCCTGCCTGGAGCCAGAGTTTTTTCAGCTTTGACTGTTCTAGCTGGAGTGGCTTTAAATCAATATGTTGCTATTATTTCTTCATAAACAGAAATATTCTTTATGGGCTGCATGATAGCTGTTTACAAGTGAAACAACCACTTGTATCGTGTTTCCTAGCAATCAGTGTCTCATTCAGATCTTATACACAGACAGTGATTGGGCAATTTGAGAGGTTTTTACAACATTAGTTCCAAGTTTCACTGATTCAAAGTGTTAAATCACCCTCCCAGAGGAGAGTTCCTGCACAGAGAAGTGTCAGCTTTGCCACTCTCTGCAGCTACACACAGCTGAAACAACACCACACCTTAGAAAAACAGATCTTGCACGGCTTAATTTTGAAGAATCTTACTGTCCTGTTATTGTGGACTGTCTTTAGTACTGCAGTTCACTTTTGTCTTTAGCCAGGACTAAAGCAGATTGTAAATATAACAGAATTCCACACTAACCCTGCAAAGACCACCTACAGACAAACCTGCCCCAGGCAATCCAGAGAATTTCTGTCTGTCTACAGTTGTTATACAACAAAATGTGCTCATGCTGCCCAGACACACGGTGCCAGATCCCAGCAAGTGTGGTAATCATTATTCTAAATGCTGTCTGAACAGAGCTTCACCTAGGAATTGTGATCCCCATAATGCAAAAGAATTGTCTTCTGCATTAATTAGATTTATGAGAAGAATTAACAAAAATATCTGATATTGTCTCTCTTGAGATTCCTCAAGGCTTTTTAGAACAACACAGTCAGCTCTCCTGAATGTTAAAGTGAACTTCAACCCCCTTTAAAACAGGAATTCTACTGGAAAGGAAAAACAGTTACCTGTGATCAATGACTGTGACATCAGAAGCAGGAATGCCCAGGACACAACAACTCTGTTCCAGCTCTTTCTTACGAATTTCTCCTTGATTGTAATAATTTCCTGAAAAAAGCAAACACAGCAACACCATCTAGCTCAGTTTAGGTTCAGATCAAGGGGTCCAAACAGTTCAGCATCTTCTTCCTTGTTCCACTGACAGAGAAATTAAGGCAGAACTGATATGGCAAGACTGCAAAAACTTAAGAGAGGAAAAAGAAGAGAGAAAACCTAATCAAGATAAAGGCAGCTGGGAAAAGTAACAGAGATCAACAACTAAGAGGGAAATGGGATTCATCATCTTAAAACATTGGCTTCTTCTTCTCTGAATTATTTTCTTCTCATCTTGCCTGACATTCCCTTATTTCTTTCTTGGCATCAGCCTGCAAAGTCCCTGCCAGAGCTGTGATGCCCCTTACAGAACGTTGCTCTATGCAGGGCAATACTTGCAACTCAATTTTAACTTTGAAGTAATAAAATGAAAAAAATACAGTTGAGTATTAATGTGTGATCCAAGCCTGTAGTCAGCTGTCTTGAATTACACTAGAACTTTTTATTGTTGTGGGTGTGAGTCATCTCAATGTAGCATTTCTCTGGAGCAGCGTTGCAGTCTGAGCCATCACTAGCGAGCTTTGTAAAATTTTCAAAGAAGGAAAGAGTAACTAGAAGGGAAAAAGCCTCTTCCCAAAAAAAGCCTGTGACTGAATGACTTTGGGAGACTGACAGTGACTGACTGTGGGATGAAGCTTGGATTGCAAGCTCCAGCTCCAGCAGGGTGAACTGAAGAGTGCAGCTTGTCTGGAATGACTGAGTGAGTACAAGAGGCTTCATTCCAGAGTGATTTTTACCAGGCCATTACCAACACAGGGCTGGAAGGTGGCAGCTTTTGCTGCAGTGCAGTGTCACAGCAGACTGCAGTGATGTTTATCCAAACAGTCCCACTGCTCTCAAAATACCTGACTTCTGCTGGGCCCAAAGAAACAGCTCCACGGCTGCAGAAATGTGTCAGGACATCAGGAGGATGTCAGTGCTCACCAGAAAGAATGGGCAGCTGTTGAGAGCAAAAGCAGCTGAAGAGCTGCTGCTGCTGCTGGACCTCATCCACGGAGCACTCACAACAGAGCCAACTACTACAGAGAGCAAAGCACATTTAGGCTGAGTTATTAATTCAATCTAAGATTATTCAGCGTGTCAAAGACTGATTTCTTTTTCCCAGTGCTGTAATTCTAACTCATTTCTAAGTCAAATTGATTGATAACTGAAAACTGCAAGTACAATGGTTTTTAAGTAATGATTTTGTCTCAGTATTAACAATTTGCAGTGTCTTTGATCAACTCACTTGTCATCATCAATCACTCAAACAATGAGAGGATGAACCATCTGAATCACCCACAAGACTAATCAGAGGCTTTTAAAATAAAAATCTCTTAGCTCATAAAGGTGCTCTCCTCTACATTTCCTCACCAGTGAGAAAGAACCCAGCAGGAAACATCAAACACACTGAATGTGTCATGCCACTGAATGAGGAGCAAAGAGGAAAGAAAATTCAACAAAATAAACAGAAATACAACACCTCTTTGGAAAGCTCCCTACCAGCAGCAGTGCATTAGTCCCCAGAACTGAAATGGCACAGTTGCACCTCAGTAATCTCCCCACAGCCATGGAGAAGCCAAATGGGATGGACAGAGCTCTGTCCCTCAGCAGAGACAGGGAAAGCTCTGCACTGAACCTTGACTGGGAGGTGCAGAGCCATCAGTAAAGTTCAATCCCTGTCTTCTCAGCTGGATGGTCTGGCAGGACAGAAAGCCTTGGAAATGTCAGAAATGCTGGCAGTGAACTGGCTGGAGCTGCCAAAGGCACAGGGGGCTCTTTCCCAAAGCTAAGCAGCTCTCAGTGTGAGAGTTCTGGTACTGCAATAGAGTCTGAAAGATCAACTCAAACGAGGCTGTTTCTTATGCACAGAAACTTGAAAAGTGGAATAACTGCTCAGGTGTCAGTTCTGCAGAACAGCCTGGAGCTTCAGCAGATCACAGGAAGAACACAAAAGTGTCATGTGCTGTGAAAAGTTCTTGTTCTGGGCAAACAGTGGAGCCTGTAAGGACTCTCCACTCTGCTCAGCCCCAGCAGCAGTGCTGCTTCAGTTTGTCATCACTGCCCTTCCAAAAATTACGTGAACCAAAGGAAGAATCTAAAGGAGAGTGATGAGAATGATTAGAGGTTTAGAAAACATGATCTATGAGGGAAGACTGCAAGTAATCAGGCTGTTTAGTCTAGAGGAGATAAGGCAGAAGAGGCAGATAACAGTCCTAAAATATGGAGGAGGCTGTTACAAAGGGATACTCTGATTTCCGTGTTCCTGTCGGGCATGAAAAAATAAACAAACAAGCTTAAATTACACCAGTGACTCAGGAAAAAGTGATTTGAGGAAAGCTAAAGCAGCACCGACACAGACCCCACAGGCTGCGGCACCTCCCCGGACATCCTGGAGAACAAACACGCGGCTGCAGCAAGCGCAGGCACATCGCTGCTGCCTGCAGGTCGGCACTGCTGCACCGCCCGGCCCCGCGCTCCCTTCCGGGCTATTGTTCCACCATCGGATGGCAACGCAAGTGCTGCTTTAGGTGTGTTACGGTGAATGTATCGCGGCAGTACAGCTGGGCCATCCAAACAAGTCTTCTGCCAGACAACAGAATGACAGGGAGGTGCCGAAAGGCCGTGCTGGTTCTGTGACAGCACACTGACATCGCCGCGCAGTCTGAAAGCGCCTCAGCGCCGCAACTTTCAATTTGAACACGTCCCCCTCCGTTCCGTCACGACACGCTCTTGTACAGGAGAGGGGAGGCGAGGGAGGGGAAGGGCGGGCGATGGCCGCGCCGTGCCTCAGTTTCCCCACAGCCGGGGGCACGGAGCCACGGCGGCCGCCCTCCCGCGCCCCGGGGGCTGGCGGAGGGGAGCTGGGCACGTGGGTGGTCCCCGCTCACCTGCGGAGCAGCAGAGCACGGCGGGGGCGGCCCCGGCGCTGCGCAGGCCGAGCAGGGCGGGGGCGAAGAACATGGCCTCGTCATCGGGGTGCGCCGTCAGCACCAGCGCGCGCCCGCCCCGCGCGCACCACCCGCGGGGCCCCGCNNNNCGCGGCGCGAAGGTTCCGCCGCGCGAAAGGGCCCCCCCGTCCCCGCCTCGGGGCGGGGCCGCTCGGCCGCGGGAACGGGAACGGGGCCCGGGCGCTGCCGCTGCGGGGAAACATCCCGCTCGTGCTGCCCCAGGGCCGCCCGCGAGCAGCGGGACCCTGGCCAGGCCTGGCTCAGCCCACAGCGGGGCCCGAGGGTGCGCGCTGAACGCCGGCTGCGCCCCTGGGTGAAAGCCGCATTGCCCCTGCTGGTGGTTCCACAGTGATTAACAGTGAAACGAGTGGAGCTTTTCAGCGTGTGGTACCTCTTGTCGCTGCTGGGCTGCGTGGGTTAAGGGGGAGCTCAGAAGCAGGGCAGGAGGAGCTTGTCTTCAGGCACGTTCCGTGGGTATCCCCAGTGTGGCTGCAAACTTTTGGGTATGGTGTAGAAGTGAATTCAACCACTGGAGAAAGCTGCAGAGCAGAAGGAGACAGGAAGCATTAAAATAAACATGAAAGAGTCAGTCAGATGCACGATGGCGTGGATCTTTCCTTTTCCTGACAGGCAATATGGAAGACAAGTGTACAGAGCAATGGTGGAGCGTGGGAGCTGGGTGGGTTAAAGCATAAAAGGGGAACACAATTTAGAAGAGTTCTGAGCAGGTGTATGTGGACTGGTCTTCCCTGCCTCTTATTTGGACACCTTTAACTCCCAAGTGATTCCAAGCCAGAGTCATTGCTTTGTGTTGGGATTAGACTGTGAACATCAGTCTGGAGATGTGGCGTGTCACCATAGCGTGGCACTTGTAACCGCTGCAATAGCACAACCCTCGGCACAACGCGTGTTTTCTGAGCGATCCTGCGTGCCGCAGGGCGAGCCCCAGCTTTTTTTGTCTTAATTGTGTGGGCGCCCCTCCTGCACATGTGGGCACGACTTCTCCATTCTATGGAAACTCTGACCACGAAGTAATCCAACCTTGCCTAACGCTGTGTCTTTCCCACAGTGAACCTGATTAGAGATTCATTTGGGATTTTAGCACATCCCGAGCTGCACGTTTGCAGTGCAGATTTGAAACTCCCGAGAACGCAGGGAACGAGTTACACACTCCTCATTCCGGGGGAGGAATGAACAGGCGTTTAACGAGATTTAAACCTCTCTCACATTTTCGGAAGTCATTCGTCGCCGGGGCTCGGGCCCGACCTCAGGGACAGCGCGGGAAGCACCGCAGACGGGGCGGGAAGAGCCCTGCGGGACCGGACGGGCTCCGGGCGATGCTCCCGCGAGGAGAGCATCCCGTGTTTCACCGGCACGGCCGCGGCCCGGGCCCCTTGTGGGTTATTATCAATTTCCATCGGTCCGGCGGGGCGCTGCGGCTCCCCGGCGGTCCGAGCCCCCGGAGCCCCTCACGGGCCCGGCCCCGCTCGCCTCATGGCGGCCGCGCCCCCCCCGGCCCTCAGCGGGAGGGGGAAGGAGCCCCTCCCCGCCGCACCGGCCAGCGGTCCTGGAAGGGGCATAGCACCCCTCTCTCCCACCGCCGCGCTCCCCGGTGGATTTTCTCGGCGTGTTGCTGCCTGTGCCTCACAACACACTGGTATAACCTGAGGAAGGGAAGAGCCAACGTGGCCGGGGAAAGGCACCGAGGCGCGGCGCCGCGGCTTGTTCGGTATCTGACAGGACCTGGCGGGAGGGGGCGGAGCGCGCGGGGCCGGGGGAGGGGAGGCAAGATGGCGGCGGCGGCGGCGCTGAGGGTGAGGGGAGACGCCGCGCCCGCGGTAAGCGCGGGGAGCCCGGCGGGGCGGCGCGGGGGCAGCGGGCTGAGCGCCTCCGCTGTGAGGAGGAGGAGGGGAAGAAGGAGGAGGGGGAAGAGGCGGGGGCCCGGCCATCCCGTCCTCCTCCCTCCTCACGGGGACGGAGCCCTGTGGTCTCCGGGGGGAGGGCGCTGAGCCGGGGTGCCCGCGGGGCAGCCGCCGGGGGTGCGGAGGATCGGCGGAGCAGGGGCGGGGGTGCCGCGGGGCTCTGCCCCACTGGCGCTGAGGGGGCGCGGGGCGATGGCGGGGCGCGCAGCGCTGACCCGCGCCGGGAAGTTTTTGCAGAAATCCCAGAGCATCTCCGTGCTGGGTGTTCATCCTCGCGCTGCGGGCAGGAGAAGTGCAAGTTAAAAAAAAGAAAGAAAAAAAAAATTAAAAGAAGGGTCAGTTCTTCAGGATCGTCCCCTTGGAGGCTCGGCGGTGGTTCCTGAGGATGTGCTGCGGCCGCAGCTCCGTGTCGGGCGGGCATCGCGGCCGCTGTCAGTGCCGGGGAGTTGCTGCTGATGCTGACGCTGAATTATTCATGTGGGACCTGTAAACATCCCCGGCTTCTGTCATCTCCGGGCTGCTGCAGGGCACAATGGAAGTGGCTTTTGCTAGAATTGTTCTGACTTGATGGTAAAGAACTTCGTGCTTGGTGATTTTTTCTGTACTTAGAAGAGGTGTGTGTATCGAGTTGGTTGCAGTTAGGCAGGATTCGAGGTGGATGTATGAACTGTCAGTGGTAGACAGGCTCAAGTAAGCAGGTAGATATTGTGAACAATCTGGTGTTCAAAATCTGCTCCTTCGTGTTTCACAGATATGGTTTTAACAAGTCTGTTACCTTTTCATGCCTGTAAATATTGGTGTAACCTAGGACAACTTTCTACAGTGGGGATGTCTAGTCTTGATTTTTGTGTCATAATTCTTTTAATAATTTTCATACAGCACTATAGTTATGAACTGTTTGAGCTCAGGGATTTTTCTCCTAGGCAGGATGATTTGAGAGGTGAAATCCAGTGCAGTTATAACAAAAGCTGGTGGTGGTAAGTGGGATGGCACAGTGCAAGTGCCTGAAGAAGTGGACACAATTGTGTCACTGCACACAAGGACCGTGCAGCTCTGTTGCAGTTTTGCACTGGAATTTTATTCCGCAGAATGTTGTTATTCCTGATTAACTAAACAACCTTGACATTTGGAAAGGAAGTCTGGAATATTTGAAGTGGATTTCTAGTTAGCTGAAATGTGGTGTCTTGTGTTGGGGGATGAAAGAGCTTCGTGCTTAGCTCAGGGATTCAAAAGTTCAGGGGAAAGAAGCCAACTGCAGTGACCCTTTTTTGTGAAAGCGTGGTTAATTTTTTCTTTACATGGCTTTTCTTTGTGATATGGTATGGGCTGCTGAAGAAAGAGAGCTCTTTTGTGATTTATGTGCAGGGAAATTTGTTTGAAATGCACTGTTTGATGTTGGTCACTAAAATGCCTAAACATGTTGCTGAAATGTGGGAAAGAGCAGCATTTTGGAATCTTCTTTCTACGAGTTGTAATGTGTGCTTTTTAATGTGTGGAGAGGATGTTACAAGTGCTTGCTTCCACGTGTGTTGCTTCTCTCTAGCTTCTTTATCATTGCAGCCATCAATTAAAAGTAACTCTCCAGACTGAAATTACATGCAGAGAATCAGAATATATTCATTTTGCCACATTGTGCTGCTGCTGTTTTGTTTTGAATACACTTTGTCTCTCCTGCAACCACTCGTTTTAGTTGCTCTTTCAGGGCAGGCATGTTTTCCGTTGTGATCTGAAAGGATCTACAAAACTCTCCCAAAAACTGTGGTAGAAGTAGGGACAGACCCTAAAGCTCGTTTCCAATTCCTCCCTCAAGTCCCTTTCCACAGTCCTTGTGCTCCTGTGACTGCATCTTCTGAGTTATTTCATTTCTCAGTTGTAGCATGAATGAGAGATGCTCGCAGGAAAGGGAAGCTGCCTCTGCTTCAGCTGCTGTTAAATGTATGAAAGAAACTGGAAAAAACCTTCTGTAGTAGAGAACAATATTTCTTATTATTAAGAAATTTATACTCTTTCAAAGCTCTCTGCAAAAGTTCTGGTGAAATGTTTTATTCCTCTATGTGGCCTTTTGCCTACAAAATTATTTAAATGAAGGCTTTCTTGGCTGATTGAAAATGCTATTTAGAGTTCTGGTGTGTGTAGTGACTTACATTGGAGATGTTAACAATTGTTGGAGCTGGAAGGGGTCTGTTCCTCGTGCAGGTGCAGGGCAGCACAGAGCAATCTCAAGAACAGACCTGTAACCAGACAGTGGTTTCATACTGCAAGCAAACGTTTCCTGGGTGCCAGGCTTGAGCTCTTCAAGTCATTTATGTTCTTTAGTCAAATCTGAATCAGTGTTTCAGTGTTGGGCTGTTAACTGAACATGGTACCTTCCCTCCCTACTGCAACTGGTCCAGATAAAAATTCTGACCTGTGCAGCACTGCTGTCTGTAAATATTTACTTTGTGATACTTCTAAATCATGCAAATAGCCAGCACAGTGCTGAATGTATCTTCCATTTCAGTGTCTGCTTCAGTGATTCTCCCTCTAGTAATGAGCTCTGTGAGGTTCCCTTTCCCTTCCAGGCTCCTCCAGTGCTCTCCCAGCCTCTGTTGAAAACAGCCTGGGCCTGCTGGGGCTCTGCTCAGTGACTTGTGTGAGACAAGGGCTCAGTCTTACCTTGGAGCTGTGCTTCTTCCCAGTATCCTGAGAGATATTCCCATGTCCTTGCCCAGCTCTACATCTGAACCATTCATGGTGTTGCCCCTCCCAGACTGACTTGGTAGACCTTCTTTTTTTCTTCAGGCTCGAGGAAGATGTTGGTTTTGAAGTCAGCAGCTTCACCTGTTCAGGATTGCAAAGGTTATTGCAAAATTTAAGATACTCTCTAGGTACAAAGATGCATCAGCCCTCTCTGAAAAATCCTATTCTTCCTAACTTTCAGCAGTAAAAAAAATCTAGAAATTAATGTTTCATGCAGACAGATTACCTGGACAAACTGTTGGCCAGGACTTAAAAATTCTGTTCATGTTGAGTGACTGCTCTTGGGTAAAAGTGAAAATGAAAATACAGTCACAAAGGTGTTGAGGAAAAGGACACCTATAAACGAGGAGGGGTGATGTTAAGTGTAAAATGTGCTTGACTTGCTTGTGCCTCGTGCTGCAGGGAAAGGACATTGGGTAATTCTCTTTTG